AGGAAATCAGTGGTATCGCACATCACTAATGGCTACATGCTCATCCAACTGAGCTAAACCTGCACCTGACTGTGTTTAATCACCAAAACTGGAGAAGGCATAGAGAGGGGATAGCCTAACATATGAAACTGGAAATGAACGCTGTGTTTTCTATTTATTTCAACAAAGTAACTGTATTCTGATTACCACCTATTTAAAATGTAACTGTAACGGAATCAGTGTTGGGTAATTAAATTACTTGTCCACTGAAAAAGTAGAATAACTGATTACTGTTCATTTTTAGGTGTTTTAATTACAGTTACTTACAATGTACTTGCGTTAAATTATAAAATAATTAAAATTGCTGAATATCGTTATTTTTTTTCATTAATTTATCTTCTAAAGGTGAAAGTAAACTCTGCCGCTTTTACATCGTTGTAGTGCAGGTGCACGTGTTTTTGCGCCAGTTTGCTGCGTAGTCGTGTTCTAAAGCGGAAGATGTCAGACTCGGCTGAAGCGAGTGGTTGTTTTATGAAACGAAAACGTTCCCATTACTTCACTTTTCTGAAACAAGTAGACAAGAACATTACAGTAATATGTAAGCTATGTCCTGGGAAGAAAAACTATCAGCCGCTGTCAATAGCACAAGTAATCTGCTGAAGCACCTGACAAGGCAGCATAGACGAACACTTCTGAGTGATCCTTGTTCATTATCGATGGATAACACTGTGGCAACTCAAGCACAGAAAGTGTCTGAAGGTGAGCTTAAAAAAATTATTGCAGGCTAAATTGTGGAAGAGATGCGTACTGTTGAGTCTTCGTCTTTTACATGCATATTAAACAAAATACCTGTGTGTGGCAAAAAAGCAGCACTGTCCGATCGAAAAATGTTTTTGACTCACGTAGATAAGTGTTATGTGGACATGGAAATGCAGCTTAAAGAGACCTTCGAGAGTTTGGAATATATTTCGACGACTGCTGACATTTGGACCAGCCATAACAAAAGTTTTCTCGGAATGACGGCACACTGGATTGATCCTTCTACTTTTGTACGAGGACATGCAGCACAGACATGTAAAAGAGTTTGAGGGAGACACACATATGATATAATCGAGCAAGTACATTCGGCTTATGGACTGAACTCTAAAGTGACAGCCACCGTGACAGACAACGGGTCCAATTTTATCAAAGCTTTTAGAATGTTCCAAAAATCAGACTCTGATGAGGAATCGGAGGAAGATGAAGAGGTGATATTTACTGATGTTGAGCAGACCCTCTCCACAGAATCTGAAGGACAGTTTTCTCTCCCTCCACACCTAAGGTGTGCATCACACACTGAACTTAATTTTTCATGATGTTGAGAAATGGCTTCAATTATTATTTAGTAACTATTGATATCTATGACTAGCTAGTTTATTGTGATGGTGCTTTGTTTTCTCTAT